TTTTCAGTACTATCTCATGGGTTTTTTTTCCTTCTCAGCCTTTGAAAAAGTCATTTCCATTAGCCTTTCACACCTGTGCCCTTCCCAGTCAGGTGTGTAATAACCCACTGCTCCTGTAGAACTCACTACAGCTGCTGACATCTATGTTGGGGAGTCGGTGTTGGTAAGATTCTTTGGGATTCTCCACCATGAAGCGGTCTATCTGCATACAAAATATGATTTCCAGTTGACTGCATAAACCTCTTGTCCCCAAGGGGAGCAATGAGTCACTCTGTGTTAGTGCCTTCCGTCCAGCAGCTACGAAATCACACGTCTCAAATGCTCCAGCAGATCTAAGGCAAGGTCCTCCAATGACTCATATAGCAATGAAAGGAAGCTGTCTGATTTGATAACAGCAGAAATTCAGCCTGGGCTCACAAAGGTCCTTACAAGCTGTGTGTCACACGGAGTTGTGTTCGGCTGCAGGGAGATAGACAACAATTATTGTACTCTTCTAGTCTGCAGAGGAGAGAAATAAAGCAGGGTAGAAGGGATTCACAGGAGGCCACTGGGTCAGTCGGGCACCAAACCTAACAGACACGATTTCTAATCAAACACACTGTGCAGAGGATCCCAGCTGACAGAGAATTGCTGTGCCACCTGCATTCCAGGCTTCATCCCACATGTATGGAAATCCTAAGAGCTGAGGTTACAAACCCCAGAAAAAACCCCAAAAACTGTTACCTTAAGTCTTTTGGAAATCAGGAACTTCATTTCCTTGTAGCAATGCCTGCCTAGGTACCAATATGTATAATGAGGAGGTGTTGTAGTAGTTCTGCTAATACTGTCATAGCAGCTACTGCAGATGTGGAATCTATATTTTGTATCTGCTTACTAGTGGTTTTCAGACATTTTTTCAGAGAGGGCTGGCTTTGATAGCGCTTTGGATTGCAAGACTCAGCATGAACTTGGTGTAGTCCCCTTGCAGATCTCTTAAAATGATTTTCATACAAGTTCACAAGTCTGATTCCTCCATTTTCTGCAACTTTTTCAGAAGTTCCAGCCTGGATTCTCTTTCCATTTCTTTTTCTGAGACTACAACTCAGACTGATCAACACTTGACAAAGTGTTTTGAGTCCTCAGATTACTCCTATGGCCATGGTTAGATGACTCAGGAGCAACTTCCTATCACATCTAACCAACAACCCATGCCAGGAAAAGGTTTTGACCAGTTTGATTCCCCAGACTGACTCATCATCATGTTAGATGAGCACGAGAAAGAAGGACTGGGCCAGTCCCACCTTAAACTGGTTTAGGTGCCCACAGCCTCACAACCATGGTAACACTAAAGTGCAAGCAGAGACACTTCTCCTTTTCATGCTTGCCTGATTCTGCCCTCCACGATGACAGCACACGTTTTTGAGCAGTGGGACAACAATCTACATCAGAGGATGGATCCAGCTGAGAAAAAACATTAATGACAGAGGAAAAAAAAAAAAAAAAAAAAAAAAAAAGAAGAATTTTTTCCAGATAAAAAAAAGAAGTATTTTTTCCAGATCTTCAGGTGCCTTGATGTAGAGGGAGAGAAAAGAGCTCCCTCAGCCATCAATGCCACTGATGGAAGTCTACATAAAATGAACATCCAAGTCTCAAACAAAGAAGATCCCTGGAAGCCTGGGACTGCAGCGCAGCTACTGCAGTAGCAGCCTGGTATCATGGAGCCTTAGCAGAGCAGGTTTTGCTTGGGTTTTTCAAGAGTCATTTACTCCTCAGCAGATGGATGACAAATCAAGAAAACTAGAACACCCTAGGCATCAACAGGAGGTTCACTGACACACACTAATGGTTATCTGCCTTCTCACATGTCAGATTCACTCTTTATTCATGCAGGAGCCAAAGCACAGAATACATTTTGGAATCAGAAAAAAGTTGCTGCTCTCAGTGATATCCCAGTTCATAACTGTGCTTTAATGTATCTTGACTCCACAGTTACCAGGAAGATTTACTCCTCACTTAAAACTGGAGGGGAGAAGATGATCAGTAAAAATCAAGGTTTAGGATCTAGTGACTCTTATGGGCAACCTAACTTTTGGAGAAGAACAAGGTAGATAGAAGTGCATACCTTTAAATCACCCTTCCCAGAACTTGGATCTCACCTGAGCAGGAATACATGCACATCCATATAAACAGGCAGGGCTTTTGCTAAGGTGTGTTTGCTTTACCATTATTTTTCTCTCCAGTGTGTCACTATAGCTGAGGCTCATTGCAGCCTCAAACCTGACAAACAAGGCAGACTTATGGGTGCTGCTTTCAAGGCCACAGGAAAAAAAGATGAGTATTTTAAAAGAAATGCAAGAGGGTCCATACACATATAGAGTGCTTTCCCCTCTCATTTTGTAGGGATTCTCTTGACCTTGCAGCGCTGTAATAAAGAAATTCATTTCACACTTGATGGTCTGGTTCTGCACGGCTCTACTCACACACCTGCACTACAAATAAAAATGCTTAAACCAGCATTTTAGTCACCAGATGAATGTTTTTCCTTTTCTGAGCTTAACCAAGGATTTAGCACAATTTACAGAGAGCAGCTGTATTGCACAGAAAAGCATTGAATACACAGAACTGCTAACAAGCAGAGGAGCTCTGTGACTTGCTTTTAGAGGTCTGCAGGGGTTAGGATAAGGGAAGTTACAGGCACTTTGGAGAAGACTTCTGGTGAGAAGAGGAACAGATCACAGCGTGATGAAATAGGGGCAGTTCCCTGTAGGGAGAAGCAAGTCAGGAGACAGCCTTGGAAGCAACACCAGACATTTGCACCTGACATGGAAAGACCAGTGAAGAAAACTCTTACTTCAGTCCAGCAGATGACTTTAACAAAAGTTCAGCACACAAGGAGGCCCAAACTTCTACTTTGTGGGAAGACACACTGAGCCAAAACTTTGTTAGAACAGATCCTCCACTAGGACTTCATTGCAGAAGTCAACTCTGACCCAGCATAGCAAAGAAACTGGCTGTGCACAATTAGAGAAGGATTTGCCTGCATGAATAAATCTGTCTGCAAAGCTGTGCAATGCCTTACCTTTCACCCTCACCTCCTTTCAAGTCAATGGAAACCAGGCAAGAGAAGTTCCTTCTCTCTCAAAAGAGAAATCTAAAGCAGCTCAGGTGAACTGTGCCCTAATATTTCCTCTTCTCTCCACTGATCAAGCAAGCCTGGGGCAAATTCCTCCATCACCTGCAGGTGTCTAACCACAGGAATCTCGCCACCACCACCTGTGTGGCTTCCAGCAGACATTTTATTCTGTTCCTAGAATTTTATTCCTTCAATGCTCCTGGCTGTTTTAGCTGGCAGGCCTGCCTACCCAGCTGCAGAGTGAACCTGCAGCTGCAATAAGCAGAGTGCATGCAGCCAACACTCTCTCCCTTCCAAGGTGGCTTTTGTCACCTTTTTGCCTGTCTGTTTTCACAGCTGCCACAGGCGAAGTGTTGCAACAGGCTGTGGGGACAGCTTTTTGAGCCCCAAGACAAGACCCAGTTCCTCACCTTGTGGGAGGCCAACCCATGTTGAGGGAAACAGCTGGGACTGGCTGTAGACTGGGGGGCATGTGGGACCAGCACAAGCCTGATGCTGTTTCAGCAGTGAGGCAGGGGACAGACAGAGTGGGGGGCTGACACCATGCAGCCCATAATGCTTTGTGTGAGAAGCAAGCGACAAATGTAGGGCAGGGGACGTGGCGTGCGACCCGCCCCCCCCCCCCCCCCCCCCCCTGATCCTATGCCCAAGCTGATCCTATGCCATGGGATGTCAGGGTTTGGCAGCTGAGCCGGGCTTAGCTGCCTCCCGGGATTTAGTGTCAGTGCGGCAGCATGGGCAGAAATTAGCAGGGCTGAGGATTTTCTTTTGGCAGATGCCAGGAGAACTGGAGCAGCTCAGGGAAGAAAAGTGATGAAGGGTTCCTGTCCCTCCACCCATTTCTTTAATGGGAAAATGAAATCTTACCATTTAGAAATGGAAATTTTGATTTCTAGCGGTATGTAGGAAACCGGAGGCAGAGGAAATGCTGATCAAAAAGCCAATCTGTACCCTTAACGCGCTTGCTCTTTGTGCAGCGATGATTGCCTGCCGGTGGCGTGAAGATACACCTTTCCAATTGTAAAGGGCCCACGGCCATCGGAGTGCCGACTATATTATCAGCAACAGACGGTACAGTTACTAAAAATCCTCTCCAGTAATGACCGACTTTGCTGTGCTGCGGCAGAAAGAGTGATGAGCACAGAATTCACACCCAAAGTAGGGCTTTTAATTATTCACGGCTCCATATTCTCCAGAGCTATGCAAACCCGAATCACTCGCTTTGTAGATCCCCAATGCCGAAAACCTCCACAGCTGAATGAAGCCAAGGTCGCTGTGACCTTCCTCTCCCTTCCCGAGGCTGCACAGCCCCACTCCCACGCTATCCCTTTCGCCTGAAACCCCGGGGATCCACTCGGGTGACTCCCCGGAGCCATCGGTGTGCCAGTCGCGCATCCGCACGCAGGGGTTCACCTGCCACCTAGTGGGGTTTCCCCATCCCTGCGGCTGCCTCCCCGTATCCCTCTCCCAGGCGGGCAGCGCGGCCGAGCCCGGGGAGGTGCGAGCCGCGGGAAGCCGCGCACGGAGCGGGCGCTCTCCGGGGCTGGGGGTGCATTACCACACAGGGGCTGTGCACCGGCGGGGTGCCTGGGCTGTGTCCTTTGGGATGGGAGGGGAATAGTGGGAAACGAAGGGGGCGTGCACCGACCGGGGGGCTGTACCCGGGCGCGCGTGTTCGTGCTGGCGGGGTCTGTGCACGGACGGAGGGGAGGCTCGGGGAGGGGCGTGCACGGAGCTGGGTGCGGGCACCGGTGCGCGGATGTTCCCTGGGAACATCCCTGGGCGGGTGGGAAGCCTGCAAGCCCCGGGAGCCGGAGGGCCGCGCAGGGCCGGTGCCGGGGCGGAGCCTCGCGGCGGGGCGGGCCCGGCGGAGCGGAGAGAGCGTCGCTTCCCCGGGACCGAGGGGCGGGCCGGCCTCAGCCTCAGCTTCAGCCTCCGCCTCCCGCTCGGGCCTTGCGTGCTCGGGCCTGGCCGCGCCGGGAGAAGCGGCGATGGAGGCGGCGGGCGGCGGCGGAGCGGCGGGCGGCATCGCCCTGCACGACTTCAGCGGGCAGCTGGGCGAGCAGCGGGTGCACTTCCACGCCATGCGGCTGCGGGACTCGCTCTTCCTCTGGGTGGGCGCCGCGCCCGCCCTGGCCAGCCTGGCCGTCGCCATGTGCAGCCCCCGTGTGAGTGTCGCTGCCGGGTCCCGCCCGCCCCCCGGAGCCCCGCGGCGCTGGGGGGTGGCTCCGCCGCCTGTACCCCGCGCTGCCGACACTAAGCCGTGCCCTGTGCTGTGCTCCGCTTGCAGGACAGCATCCCGGTGGCCGCCTCGCTCCTGGGGGACCCCTCGGACACCGCCTCCTCCTGCCTGGCGCAGCGCTTGGGTAGGTGCGGGGCCGCGCTGCGGGGAGGCGCCTCCCGCCGGGAGCGCGCGGGTCGGGGCCGGGCCGGGCCGCTGTGCTGGCCCTGGGCCCCGGGCCGGCTGCACGGGCGTGCGGTGCGCGCTGCCCCGGCCGCAGAGCTGCGCCTGCTTCCATCCCATCCACCCAGTCACTCGTGTTTTCCCATCGTGCACGAGTCTGCGGCTCCTGAGTCAGCGGCCTTGGGCACGCTGTGCGCTACCAGAAGTGAATTGTTTGATATCCTTATCCTGGCTTTGGGTGCGAGGCAGGGCAGCACATGCTGCACCTGTCGAGTGGGGTTTCAGGTGACCTCTCTGTAAAGCTGTGACACTGCTGTGCTGGTGGGCGAGGTGGCCGTCATGCCAGGCACCTGCGTTTTACCTGAAGATGAAGCCAACCTTCATCATGTCTCGCACCTTTTAGTCCCCACATTCCAAGAAGTTCTGGCCTGGGAAGCCCAGGGTTGTCTCACACATGCCTGGGCTTGATCTGACCGGCCCAAATGGGCACTGCTCGGGATGCTTCCTTTTCCCCATGTGCAGTGTGCCACAGCTACTGCAGTAGCTGAAATCCTGAATCTTAATGACAGCTTGCAAACTCCCATGTCCATACAAAAAGATTAAAAATACGTGGCCTAATCATCTTTGCCCCTTCTCTGCTCTGACAGCTGTGTCATGCTGGTTACTCATCATCACCCACCAGTGGCTGGTGCAGCTCCAAGTGGTGAACTGCTGATGTGCTTGTTACCAAGTTTTAAAACCGGCATGCTGAGCTGCTCAGTCTCACCTTACTTCCTCTGTTTCAGATGGAAAGGCCACAGAATTATTAATGATCTGTGTGCTGATCTCCATTTCAGACAGTATGTCCTGAGTTTGTATTGTCAGGCACTTTCATGAGTCTACAACACCTTTTTCTCCATGGACTCATAAAAAAGGATTGCTCTCAAGACTAATCTTTGAAAAACGGTGTTAGCATCTTTTCTTCTTCACAATAGCTTCTCTATGAAAGAGACTGTTTAGTTGACCGTGGTGGCACAACTTTCTCTACACACTGAGTTCAATCCATTCCACCTGAAGTAATAATTTTATGGGGTACTGTGTAACACAGCTTCTTTATGTGTAATTAGTGCCTTGTCCTTAGGAAGTCACTAAACATGTAGTCAGAGAGGATTTATTTGGGATAAAGTATAATAGTTTATTCCACTTTCCATTTGGTCTCCTTGTCACTCATTTCTTCGGAATCTCTCTCTAATCTTCTGTGTAGCATTGCATTAGAGCTGACAGCTCTAAGTTATCTTAGTGATTGCCATACTCCTTTTGGGTTTTTTCTTTTTGTACGTGTGCTTGCTATCTCTCTTCAAGGATTTATTAAATGTTTCTTAGCTGAAGTTCATAATAACCTGCCATTTATTCCATTAGCTGTTTCAATGTTCTAGGACAGAGGCTGCCTGAGTCACCTGACTTTTCTCTTAGTGAGTTGTCGTGCTTTTATTATTTGCATTCCTAATTTCCCATACTTTGTTACTGAGAACTGATACTGTTGCTTGGTACTGGTCTATAGGTTACTCTTTATCCTTGGACTATAATGCACCTTCCTGCTTTCTTTTTCTTTGTGTGCTTTAGGTGTCTTTTGTTATTTCATTTTAAATTTCTGAGCCAGTTGTGGCCCAGCTAGGTTTTTGGTCCGTGTTCCTCTGTATCCATGACATCTATCCACTGGGTTGCAGGTTTCCTTGCCAGTCAGCTGCTTTCATATTATTTTTATACACTGTTCTTCCTTGTGTGATCCTGGTTAAAGTATATTATTTTGGAGAAGGCCTATAGACCTTTTTCACCTTTGGTTCAAAGGGGAAAGTCGATAATACACTTATGGCTTTGAATAATTATGTGCTTGCTCTTTACCTGAGCTTCTGGGAAAAGAAATACATATTTTTGAAGTCTCACACCATAGGCTTTAGGCTGGCTTTTGACAGTCCAGCAGTTTAGGTCAACTCATGATCACTTCGTCCAAATTTATTTATTTCTTAATCTATTTTTTTATTTATTTATTTATCCTGAGACCAGTGGATATGCAAAATCATCAACAAGCATCCCTTATCTTTGTTTCACAAAGCTCTTGGTAAGGAAATCTGTGCTCCACCTCAGCTAGAAATACCCAGCTTTGCTGTTGTTGGTGTTTAGTTTTTCTCTGGGGATTTAAATCCTTGTTACTCCCACACAATCTGTAATAGCAGAGATGCTATTCACAGCCAAGTCTGACTTGTACTTCCAAGGTAGCCTTTTAACCATCCTGACATGTGATAACCTTCAGGCAGGCAGTTTTTCTCCCCTTTCTTCCCCTCACCATGCTTGTCACCATTTTTTTTTCCGTGCAGTTTCTTGTCTCCACAGGCACTAGCAGGAGTAGCATGCAGTGCCATTTGCACAGAACTATTTCTATTTCTTACACTTGCCAGTCACATTCCATCATCTACCATGTGTTCCTGCAATGCCAGGTTTCCTGCCCTGGAGCAGGAGTTTCAGTGCTGCTGTGCATCACAGTGCAAACATTCTCCTTTTGTTTCTGGGTACTTTGGTAGGGTTCCTAGCCACAACAGCTGCATTTTGTGTGTTGGCTCTATCTCCTTCCTTATTTCTGATTTTTTTTCTGTTGCTGAAGACACATGCACTTCATTCTTATTCCTCTTTCTACAAATATCTATATCTGCTTTTATGGGGTGCAGTTTCCCACCACCCTGCCCGATCACTTTGGCACAAGATGTGTCTCACTGGTCAATGAACCCAAATTCTAAGAGTTTCCTGTAGGATATGGGAGGCCAATTCTTGAGAAAGTCCTTGTCCATTAGTGCCTTCCTCACATGCATGTCCTGAAATCACTGTGCTTTGGGCTGCAGTACTGATTAGTGCCATGTCTTCAGTCTTCCTTCTGTAGGGACTGGCAGAGTCTTGATGAAAATCACCTCAACTTTTTCTTTGAGTATTTCTCACCTGGGCACTGGTCACTTTCATAATCTCTTTTCCAGCATAAATAGTCTACCAATATATGTCTTACATTTGTCCTGCCTCTTCTGCTCCTGCTGGGCTCCTCTTCAGGCTTTGGTATGAAGTTGTAGGAGCAGATCTGTGCTGCTGTAGTTTCTCCTGGCATTTGGCACATCCCGGACAATGGCTGCCAAGGATGATTTTCCTCCACTTTGAAGAGCCCCTGGAACAGGGGTTATTACCCAGGCTGCACGGGAAGCAGACCTGCTGGAGGGCTTTCTAGGTAAGCCTTGTCCTTTGCAGTTTTCTGCTTTACACTGAAGCTGCAGATGGTCTTCCACAGGGACATAAGATCTGCCCTCTTTTGTCCTTCCCGCAGGAGTGCACGTGTCCAACTGAATCCTCAGGAAGCAGGGACAGAAAAGGTCCCCCTGGCCCTCAGAGCTGGGCCAGAGCCCTGGGAGCAGAGGTCCTTGGCAGAGGCAGCCCAGAGGGACTCCCAGATTCACACTGTTCTGGGAACTGGAGCAGCATCCCAGGGACTCTGTAGGCAAACATAATTAAGAAGTTGAGTTTTGACACTGCAGTGCGCTATATAGTTTTGTTAGCTAGGATAATGGCATTAATTGGTTCAGAATTAACATTGCATTCATTTAGGGGATGATGATGAAGTACTAGTGCTTACAAAACATGCTGCTTTGGACCACAAAAATCTGGTGCCAGGTGCTAATTTTTGCAATCAGAGCACCAAGCTGCATTATATCAGCATTTTGTAGTGCCAAGTCTTAAACAGCAAATGAATCCTTTCATTTCAGAATTTACTGAACTTACAACTCTACTTACTGAGTCAGGAAGCTGGTAACCTGTTAGGGTAGAAAATAATAAAAAATAATGAAAATGCCTTAAAGGAGTTTTTAAACTATATTTTATACATACATATGTAAGAGTTTCTGTTTTTAACTATTTAGTTTTCTATTTAGAAAGGATTAAAATCTTAGAAGTCTATAGAGTGTCTCTATTTTGAAGTTTTAAAAATTCAGATGACATTTTTGAATATTCAGCAGAACAGTCTGATTTGTGTCTGGAGTCATTAGCTCCCAGCTCATTCCCGGACAAGAATATCTTGTGACCCAAATACTATTTTTTGTCTTCTGTTTTACACAACTCAATTTAAATTTAGTGCCTATTTTTCCTGTATGGTGCTTTTCATTTTTCAAAAAGTTTAGCTTCAGTAATATATAAGGAGAGCCACAAATTTGCTATGTCACCATGGTAAAATCTAAGTAGGATGGCATTTTATTTACAAAACACTTCTTGGTGTTATCTCTTCTACTCTGATAATTAAGTCTTCTTGTCCCACTGGACAGTTTTTTTGTCACTGTTAATTAGCTCTGTCATGGAAGGCAGCTCTTAATTTTGTAGCACCTCTCTCTAGGTACTTGTCATTACAGTAGCCTGGAACTTGTGCTTGGCTTCATCTTGTTCAGCAAAGGCTCTCCAGCCTCTTGGAGCATTCATGGACACCGTATGAAAAAAGGCTAATGGAAACAAAACTGATAGCAAGCTTAGAGCTGGTGCATAGCTTTTTGGGGCTTTTTAAGGCTTATGAGCCTTTCAAGGTTCATTGAAAAACCAGAACTTAATTAATTTGGACCCAATGACTTTCTTGAGCACTTTCCCTCTAATGTTTTATACAGCACAGATTTACAAACTCTGAATTTCAGTGCTAAGAGTCCAGTATAGTCTGTGGTGTCACTTACAATGTAAGATATTTAAGAAGTGTGCAAAAATCCACTACAAGCTCTGCAAGGCTCTCCAGTGGCTAGTGGTGTCTTGTGTCAAGTCAAAAACCAGTTGACAGTCACCAGTCTTATATTGTTCACTTCTGTGATGTGCAAAATCTTGGCCAACTCCCCCGTGGTCAGAGACGTGTTCTGCTTTTCATTTATAACTGCACCCAGCACAGCAAGAGTGGAGAACATCTTAGAAATGTGCATGATGTGGCTTTTCAAGAGGCTTGCTCAAATACCATGATCACTTTTATGTAAGAATAAACTCTGGCTGACTACTCTGTTTTGTGTTTTAGCCAGCAAGACCAAAAAGCAGATATTTGTCAGCTACAATCTTCAAAACACAGACAGCAATTTCACCTTACTCATAGAAAACAGGATCAAAGAAGAAATGACAGCTTTTCCAGACAAGTTCTGATTGTGCATCATTGTAAAAAGAAGATGAAAGTTTTGTTTCAGAAAAACTTATTGCAATTTTCACACTGACATTAAGTTAGTATATTTCTTTTGTATTGTTTTGATTGAATTTGTGGTTGTTATTAAATATAGATACACTTGACTAGGATTTTCTTTTTTTTCAAATAGAATTTGAATTTTCAAAGCAATTTTTTTTTTTTTTTGCTACCCTGCCAAGTAGGATAGCAAACAGATGCTGCAGTGGATGAACATGATTGAAAAAGTGCATGTGGTGTGTGGCCTCCACACAGTACTGGGATCTGATGGCAAATCAGTTCCAAATGCTACCTGTACAATTAATCTATTGTGTACTAGGACTGAACATAGTATAGCAGCTTTTAGTGTTCAAATAAAGAAACCCCACATTTTTGTATGGTAAAGCTGTGACATGAGTGTTACTTTTGTCCTTTTAGCCCCTCTTGGTTGTAGTACTGGTGCTAAACAATGATTTCCTTCCATCCCTTGGGCACTTAGAACACGAGAAGGATTTCACAAAGGGTAATTTATGCATCCCTGATGACTACATAGCAGGAAAAAGCACAAGCCAAGTTCTGGAGCAATAGATAAATCTGTCATGCTGCTAGAAGAGCATCACATGTAAATTGAGCATATACATAAAATCAGAGAGGTCTACTACCATGACCACCAGTGAAAAGCATCCTGCTGCTACATCTCTGGGCTTGCTTTCAGGTACGATGGGTATCTTTTCAAAGGCAGATCCATTGGCTGTTTTGTTTAATGAGATGGCAGGCAGGAGTTAAGTATCCAGGTTTTCCAGGGTTTTGGTGGTTGTTTTCTTTCATTCTGAGTTTAGTTAGCCCTGACTGGAGCTCAAGCATCAGCTGCTGATACAAACCAAAACTACTAAACTGGTGCTGCTTCTAGACAACTCTGTCCTAAGCACCTACAGAAAAGCGATGGATTTACCTTGCTGTGGTGCCACAATCAGGAATTAAAACCTGTAACTGAGAGGCTGCTGCTGTAGAAGGCACAGCTGCTGAGTCTCTTGTCCAAAAGTGCTTGAACATGCAGTGGCTTCAGGGTCTCAGATTTGGTGTGGAATGCAGAGGGCCCCTCCTTACCTGGTGGGAACAGCTGCCTGTCCTTGGCTGCAGTTCAAGATCAGAATAGCAAAAAGCAACAGTTGAAGGGTATTTTCTTTTTGATTCACACCACTGAGGAAACAGAGTCAACTATGCTTCTGTAATTGACTGTAAAGGATAATTACTTGCAAATCAATGTGCTGTTTTAATTAGCCTGATTTACAAACAGCTCATTCTGTTTGTAGAGCAGGGCAGGGCTATTTGCTGAGGCATCAGCTGCTGCTGGGTGTTTGAGAAGTCACTGCAAGGGAGCCAGACCAGGGAGAGCAAATGGATGGGACAACGTCATTTTATTCTGTACATTTACATACAAAGTTCTTCTCAGTAGGTACAACAGATGTAACATCATGCAGACATTTAGCTTGTAAGACTGTTTTCAGTACTTGATTTAAGCTTGTGCTATGAGGAAGCACCACCAGACTATTCATGATCAAAACATACAGTAACACGATTCTTTAAAACTTCATCAGAAACTGAAATGGGGAGGGAGATCTCGCCCACTAGACAAAACACACCGTACTCCTTTCCCGAAACATTTTACACAATACATTTAAAATGAGGTTTGTAATTTCATTTTTGTATTAAAAAATAAAATAAAAAAAAGTTGCAGTGGGGGGAGATCATCCCCCCACTCAATAGTGTTGTCTTATGTGCCAGCTACAGGCGCAACTTGACTTGACATTCACAGAGTTCAGTTAATGGCACTTCTGCTTCCAATTTGGTGACCAATAAATTGTTTGTCTCCAGAAAGTGGCAACAGTTAAGTAAAATACTTCCACTAAAAAGGATGACAACAAAAAAAGCCTACTCAGTGAAACCCAAAAGTAAATCACACAACCCCCTTTCAGAGTGGCCACAAAACACTTGCAAACAGGTGTTATCTGTTTGCAGCGTGTCTGGCAACAAAAGCAGTACTGAAATCTTACAAGGGGGACAAAACCCCCAAGATCAAGCATAATGTCACTTCACATTTTTGTTTGAACTTACAAAGATGGAGAAAGCCCTTAAATGGTAAACCCAAAGAAAAATCTACTGATGGGCTTAGAGGTTACTGAAGGTTCACAGAAAAAGGCCAAAAATGGACAAGACAGCTTGGACTGCTTCCCCTGTTGTGGTGGCCAGAAAGAGCCGCCTGAGAAAAGCCTTTCCTGGTGATGGCTGCAGAGGAGACATGGCCAAGGAGCCAATGGTGCAGCAGGCTGGGACCCCAGCAGAGAGCCCTGTCCTACTGCAGGGCTAGACAAGGCAGGGCAAGCATCCCCATGCTTCCTTTCTGCCCTGCTGCATCACCTGGTACCTGGCTCCTCCACACTAGATAGGTTTAGTGAAAGCTTTCCAACTCCATGAGCATGTGTGGAAGAACATAATCATCACAGAAGTGTTCCTGTTTTCAGGAAAAGGAGCAAAACTAGAACTGCCAAGGCAGGAAGTTAGTTTTTGCTTTATTGTTGTGACAGAGGCAGAGGGCCAGACTGACTAGAGAAGATGGGGCTCCCTTCATTGCAGATCAGTACTGACTACCTGGTTTCAAGCAAAAAAGCAGCAAATCGAATCAACTTCATAAGACTTTCTTCTTAACAAAACAAACAAACAAAAATTGCTGCATGTTCCTGTCACCAAATGTATTTATTATCTAAATGTTGATATGTTTAAACAAGTATTCTTTTCCCTGTGCCTGTCTGTCATCGGAGAGCAACCACCAGAACAGGAAACGATAAAGTGCTGTGGACAACAGCGGTGAGCTCACCAGGAGCACTGACAGTGCTGGAAGCAGCCGTGTGTGCAGGCCTGTGCGTGGTCTGCGGGAGCTCTACCGCAGCTTGAGCACACGGGCCACGAGAGGACCACAAAGGAAGGAGCCACTGGCTCCACAGCACGATGGATGGCAGGGCGCTGCTTTCCGCCTCTGAGCTCGCACCTTCTCCTCTCTCATGCCCTTTCTCTCTTCCCTGAAGCCTTGTTTTGCTTCTTCAGCTTTTTGTTGTGAACCCATTTCTTTCGTCCCCGAATGTGTGTGGCTTGCAACAAGCATCTCACATCGAAGGCAAAAGGTATTGCACAAATTTGGCGTGTGAATACTACACGAGTGGGGAAGGGCTGGTTTCTTTCCTCAGGTGAACACAGACTGCAAAGGTCTCAGCACAGAACAAAAAGAAGCAGCCACACTCGAGCCTGACAATAAAACTCGAGTGTTAGGAAGATCAGGCTCTTGCTGTCACAGCAAGTTTAGCAAAGGTGAAAAAAACCAGTAGTGTAACTCTGGGCAAAACTACCATCAACTGGTCCAGTGTTTCTTACCAGGCTCAAGAAGAACCCAAATGTCCACATCATCCTCTGTAAAAATTAGCAGCTTTAGGACAACATTGTTAGTGTGAATGCAACCCCCTCTGTTGCTTCTGCAGGTCTGCCTGTCCCCTTGCATCCGTCAGCGTCTGAGGCTGTGCTACCTTACTGCATGGCCTGCCGGGGAGCATGGGTCTCTGATTTATTGGGAACTGTAAGAGGACATTGGCAGCCTAATGGAGGATGGAAATTGTTAGGTACAGTAGTTAATCGACAATATATACAGCAAGGGAGGAAGGGGGAGGGAAGGTAGAGGAGGAGAGTGCGAATGAGCACTTCCCCTGCATATGAACGCAAGATGTACATCAAACAAAGTGGCAATCATATGGACAGTGAGTACAACATTGACATCCTGCTGCTCTGCTTGAATGTCTGCACTACTGAGCAATCACAAATGGATGGCCTGAGTGAGAAAGGAGAAGAGGGAGGGAGAGAGGGGAGAGTTAACTACAATGCAAGAAAGCTGTTTACAGAGTCCTTGCATTGAACTAGATCCTCACGATATTCTCTTGAGTGAGGACCAAAAGCCAATGGCCGAAGGAAATAATTTGGGGGCTGGAGGAGGGAAGTCAAGTGGCTACTATCAAAGTGCCATCTGCACAGCAGGAGGTAAAGTGGATGTTCACTTTGTGTAGAATTAATCAAATTTAAGTAAACATTTTTTTCCTGAACTAAAATCTTACAAGAGCAGTCAGGAAAGTGAGGAAATAAGGGTGAGTTCATTGTATATTCTTGGGTCAGAACCAGAACACATATCTAAGAGCCCAAGACAGCTCAGTAAGTCATTATTCACAGGCTATCAATTAATTCCTTTCCAACAGTCATTTAAGCAGTTTTCCCACTTAAATTGAAAACCCAAACCCTGGCTCTAAAACCACTTGAGACAGTAAATACCAGGACACTCATTTCTCAGGAACAGATATCCCAGCTATGCTGCCTTTTGGAATAAAGGTATATATAGATCTTGCCCAAGCTCCTTACTATTTATCACTGCTGGTCTATGCTTTTTTCCTGGAGCAGTCAGAGATCCTGGGCCTCCTGATAATTATAACCATTCTAGACAAAACTCATTTTTGCATCATTAGTCAAATCATTTGCATCATCTACATTACAATTAAGGACCAGTGGCAACCACGTAAAATAGATTAATATATTCTTAAAATGCAGAAAGCTGATTGAAAAATCAGCTTGTTGGGGTAGGATTTTCTCCAATGCATTCAGTGAAAACAAAAAAGGACTAATTTAGAAAGTAACTTTTAAGTGCACATGGGCTATAAAGACAAATATAAGCTGCCTAAAATGCAGTCAGAGTTTGAGTCACAACAGGTTTTGCTTTTTCTTCTTTTTTTTTTTTTTTCTTCCTTTTTCTTAGTGTATACAAACACAGCAGGCAATCTGGGCACTTGGACTTTCTAGACAGGCAGAAGAATGTTGCACAAGTCTAAGTTTAAGTCAATTCAACTTTGCAGTGAATCCCTCTTTCCTTTAAAGAAACACAAAAACAAAACAGAAAACAACACTCCCCCTCCCCCCATGGTTTCTTTCTTGGAATGGCTGCACCTCTTAAAAGATGGCTTCATTTTTGTGATCTATGAAAGGAAAAGGAAATAAAGTGCTTCTTGAGAATAAATCAAAATAAATATACATATTTAATGGCAGGAAAAAAAGAGTTCTGAAGGGCTACTGCCAGCCAGGTCTTTTCTCAAATGAGTCTTTTTCCCCCAAAACTTTTCAAAAGTAATCTGCACAACTGCTGAAGATGCCAAAATTTGCTTTAGTAGCAGAGTTGAATTCCTCTAAGTTTGTGTCTGCTCCATCACTGGTTTGTAAAATCTGTGCAAAACACCTTTGCCCAAAGTGCAACTCCTCCCGCACAACAGCATCAAATAAAATACAAAAGGAAGAGAAGGAATATAAGAAGGGGAAATAAAATAATTAAAAAAAAAACCAACCAAAAACAAGGAGAAGGAAAAAAATCCACCCAGTTACATCTACTTCATGCCGTTGGCAGTGGTGTTCTCCGAGATGCCGTCACTCACAGCGGCTGAGTCATGGAGGCCAGAGTAATCCTTGAGTTCAGAGTTTGTCAGGAGCAGCGGCTGCTCCCCCTTCTTGTGCGGCAGCAGGGGCTGCCGGGTGTAATGTTCCCCATCCGGGATGTTCTCAGGCAGGTGCTGGCTCTTGCTCTCGGGCAGCAGCAGGATGCAGATGATGCAGATGAGTGTGCAGCAGGCGAAGATGACGTGGTGGAGGAAGTAACCCTTCTGGTTGTGGAGCTCCATGATGGGGGCAGTCAGGCGGCCGAAGCCCGCGCTGGCCAGCACCAGCCCCAGCCCGCCTCCCCTGCAAACGCAAGCAGGGGGGAAATAATTACACTCAATATCATTTCACACCCATTTAACTGCCGCCACATAAGAAGAAGAGAAGCTTTACCATGTGAGTGTGTAGACAGCATTCTAAAGCACTCCCAGTTCCAAGTATTCCCACATTCAGTGAGGGAAAACCAGATTTTGCTTAGCACACCACCCTTCCCCACTTAGACCAGACACACCAAGGAGCAGTAAGTGCAGAAGTCAGTTTTGGCTGCCTCTAAAGTATCTGGCACCACTCAGCAGTGGAGGCAGGAGATTAGACTTTACAAGCCACTGCCTTGATCCATTATACCAAACACTGAGTGCTGGAATATTTTCTACATAAAATCATGTTATGGCTGGAACTTCTCAACACAGTGGAGATGTAACAAAATGCATAATTTTCAGAAAAAAAAACAAAGAAGTGTGAAAATAGACTCATCTTCTTCCAGCTAGAGGCACAGAAGCTGCTTGTGAAAGGCCAGTTCAGTGCTGTCTCCTGATGCTTGGCTATACAAGCAAACTCTCTTGCAATTCCTCGTCTTGCTCATCAGCATCTCTCCAGAGCCTGGTGCAGGAGGCCTGGCACACCTCACAGTCCTGGGTCTGTCTCTGCTGGGTGCCCCCACACAGAAGCGGCAGTGCAGGTGTTTCTTTGGGGCAGGCCATTCCCTCCTGCTGTGACACGACTGAGGTCTCCTGCCAGCAGAGGGCTGTCCTTAAATGACTCATTTTAACAAAATCTGTGACGGCAACAGCTCGTCCTTCCTTTTCCAAAGACTCTGCTGCCTGCAGAGGGAGACCTCCTTGTGAGTTTAATCACTGGCACCCTGCTTCCCTACCAAGCCTGTGAGGGCAACACACTTCCTACACTTCCTCTGGGAGATGCCATTTATTCCCAAACCCTCTGCAGATCAGAGGGGTTCAGTTCCTGGCCCAATGCAGAACTGTTATCATCAACACAAACTGGCCCTCACAGAAGGGCAAATGGACTGCTTTATGCCAAATATTTGGCATAAAACCAGTTTCCCTGACTATTAAGCATCCTGGAAATCACTGTACAAATAAACCTACAAATGCCAAATTCACTCAGCCAACCACAGTGTTAAAGCTAATCTTCACTCAATCCTTTCCAAAATCCACTGCTGCTTACTTGACAGCTGAAGGACAGCAAACATGGGCTTCAAAAGATGCTTTTGGGACACTGACTGGATCAAAAATTCACGTATGTATGTTCCAGTTCTTCAGACTCAGCAGAGCATCTTTCACAGACAACAGTGACTTCCCCAAATGCTGCAAAAGCCCTTATTAAAAACTTGCCAGCTTTCCGATGGCAATTTAGAAACCCAGCTGAATGCAACTATTGTGCCACTGGCCTCCCTGCAACTTCATTAATACACTCACATGAGTAATTGACACAACCGGTCCCAAATGCACGGCAGATCTCTCTCCAAGCTGGCTCTGGAGCAACAAAAGCCTGGCTCATTTACATCAGTGATTGCAATGGCTAAATTGTATCTCAACCCCCCTGAGAAGGACCTGAGGTGAGTTTTAAATGCTGCTGTAGCAGGACATCAAGCAAGCTGAAAGAAAACGGGAAAAGGCAACAACAAAGACGGCTCTGTCATTTATGGGTCAAGTGGCTTCAGATTTACAGGGGGGAGAAAAAGTTTTTCCATATGACGTCAGTAATTAGAGTAGGCATTACTTTTTCCAGTGCCATCAAAGCCTGGCATAGGAAGGCTTGAAAGTACATTTTGGAGTGTCCTAAAAGGGGTTTCTTTAAGGTTTGACTGCACTGCAGATGTAAAAATGTGAAGGGAAAAAAAAAGAGAAAACTGAGACTATTGTCAGGAAGTTTTTGTTGTTTCCATGCACACCAGGAAAACAGCTACAGGGCAGAAGAGGCAGCAGGGTCATGATTCCCACTGTTTGTGCAGGTGACAAGGGGCAGCAGGTGGAAAACAAAAACACTCTGAGTGCTTTGGGGCATTGCTCCTCCTCAGCACAAGGAATTCCATGACAGGGGCCAGCGTCTGTACTTCAAATGCTCTCCAGATGCAGAGTGGAGCCTGGAGAAGGAGTGCGAGGGCTGCTGGACCCACAGTGAGTCCCAGCTTTCTCCCTTGCACCTCTGCCTGCCAGTGGCTGCTCTGGGGGGGCTTTCCTATGGCATGGCCCCATGGATGATCAATCAGGACCACTTTCCCAAATCCCGCTCCCCCACTGACAGTGGGGAGGGATGGTTTGTATAAGGTTTATGGTCCTAACGCGGGCAAATCGCAAAATTCAGAATTCTGTCCTCAGAAAGGTCCTACTTGGTCATGGGGTAGAATTTCCTTCCTTGATACCTCAGTGTTTTGCCAGAGAGCAGCAAGACATCCTCACTGACATTCTAAGGGGAGGGTCTTGTCCTCAGCACTCCTCAGGAGAGCAGAGAATTGTTACTCCTGTCTTCAGACAGCTATGTCTGCATTGAGCAAATGGGTCAATACACAACATGGCTCAGAGCACAACTGAGCCAGAGAGATGCCCAGGCTAAAGGAGGCTGTGGGAGAGCACCTGGTCCAGCCTCCTGCACAAAGCAGGACCAGCACTGAAATCACACCAGGTGTTCCAGCTCAGCCGCTTCTCAAAGTCAGCCCCTGAAAACCTCCACAGATTTTCCTTGCCTGTACATAAGGGATATTTTGTGCTCTCGGTCCTAGGCCAGAGATTGAAGTAATACACCAGCATATCCTTGGCCTCATGGAGCAAGCACCACCTTTGAGAAGCCAGGCCTTATTCAGGTCCCAGTAAACAGTCCTACATCCCACTGTGCTGAGGAATGCATTCAGTGCAGGTAGCTGGGTGGGCAAGGTGTGGTGTCAGCTGCAGACTGAGCTCTGGCGGGTGAGACCCCAGGAGGAGAGGCTGTGAATGGGTGCAGAGCCTCTGTGTGAACGTGAACGAGCCAAGTGGCTCCTGGGTGGTCAGAAAAGAAAGTTTCCTCAACAACTGGAAATTTGGCTTGAGGCAAATGGCTTGATGGGAAACAAACCCTAACTCAGCCATCGCTGCCCAGTCTTTGGCTGTGTGGGCACAAAAGCAGGACACTGAGAGAAAAAACCAGAACCATCTTCCACTTGATAGTAACTGAGAATGTGGAGGATGAGGAGAGGACATGCTGTATTTTGTTCAGCCTACTCCTATTTAGTGGACATGCAGGCTGTAGTGGTGTGAATATTATTCCATATGGATTATCAGGGGCACTTGGTGCTTTAATTCAGCGTTGGCATGGAGGTCTGTACTGAAGTCCTGGGTACAAAGAAGGGTAGCTCCTGGTGAAGCCCCCCTGCCTACTGCCAGGAGACTGGGGTGCAGTGCACAGATCCCAAGGACCCCTGTGACACATGACAGTGTGGAACGCTCATGTTGATGAGCAGGTGTCACCTCTTGGTGATGACAATCTGGCTGTCCTCCTCCTGGAACTGTTCATCTCAACACCACAGCAGCAGAGATGGGTGGGTGCTGTGGGTTTGCTGTCATGCCACTGCTACCCTAGATAATGGCAGTGCTGTTTTCCATCTCAGGGATTTGCAGACAATGGATTTGATCAGGGAAACCCCAGAAAAAGCCACAGTACTCTCTTTGCCTTCCTTTTCCTCAAGGTTCCTTGAGATCCAACCAAAAGCGTATTAGTATCATACAATGGTTTGGGCTGGAAGGGACCTTAAAGATAATTTAGTTCCAACTCCCAAAGGGCATCCAGGGTGGCATTTTGGAAAGCAGGTTATGAGGGAGTTACCAGATCCCACAAAAAGGCAAGATAGGAGGCAGCTTAAGCACATCTCTCCATGAAGAGATGCACTGTCCTGACTTACACCTCCTAATTACAATCCTGAGGGGATCTTATTGTAGTGGTAGGATCACAAAGCAGTGCAGAGTGTCATCATTTCTATAAATAAACAGGCACCCCGAGGCATATCTAGCTGTTGTCACTCGCCTGGTGTCACCCAGCAGAGTCAGGGGAAGCAGAATTTTGGCTCCCAGCCAGGATTTTGTCCCTCTCCCTGTAGCAACATAAGTGATTTAAGGGAAAAAAGCTTGCTAAGTTCAGACTGCACATCTGACCCTACTTGGCAGATTCTCTTCTGCCTGACATGGTCAATTCCTTATCTGCGTGTCTTTCAAACAGAGGCAAGGAGAAAATTAAAAAGGCATAAATCCACCAAACTGATTGACACACACATAAATAAATAGCTGTTAGTGTTTCAGGCTGCTGTATAATCTCACTCCTCACACTGCCTTTTCCTGTGGAAATAATGTTATCCACAAAATACATTCACAAATTTAGATAGCCTGAAAAAAAAGACCATGGAGCAAGGAGACTCTGGCTACTCAGATGACAGTTTTGCAATAATACTTTTGAAAGTAGTTGAAAAGGCATATAATTTGGAGGGGGCAAAAAAAAAAAGTGTCCTCTTTCCTCCACTCTCTCTCCCTCTCACCCATATGACCTATATTCCTGGGAATTTCAGTGAAGTCAGAGCAAACTCCTGAATTGCTGTGGCATTGCTGAAAGCATAATCCAGAACACAGAAGCACAACCTTTGTGCTGTGAAAGATAACAGTGCATATACAAAATGATACAAACCCCTGACCATACAAAGATGTGTTATGGGAAACTCTCCGACAAAGATAATTTGTCTAATTTCTCCTATTTCCCAGGATGAAAGCACTCCTCTTTAGAAAAACTTTGAGCCTCTGCTAAGATAGGTCTGTATGTGAAGAGAAAGACAGCTTTATCTGCAACAAAGTCAGAGAGGCAGGCTTGCAGAGGGCCTCTATGCACCAAAAGCATCTACACCACATGTCTCAACACATTCCTTCCACTGAAGCACCCCTGCAGCTGTCCTGGTTAACCTGCCCTATGGAGGCAGGGATTGCTGGCACCTATGCCCTTCTCTGCACAATCATGGAATTCCTCCTTTAATATCAAATTGCAGACTCACCCCTTGAACAAATCCTGCAGAGTTAGTGAAGCAATGACAATGTTCAACCACACAAACCGCTTCAGCTGAGTATTTAAGACCCTACCAAGCTGCAATTCATATGCTGCCAAGCCTGCTGATCATCACCACGATGGGACACAAGGTGGAGCCATGGAAAACAAAGCCTCTCTATACACAGACAGGCATTTACTTGCACAGACTGACTGCAGCCACTGCAAAAAGCAGCCCCCAAGTTGCTGTGAGCTCTCCAATTACATGGGGCTTCCCCTCCCATACAATGTGTTAAGTTATACAGCCCATTATCAATTAAATGAGGATAATTTTGTCCCCATCTTTTGAGGGGGGCTCCAAAGTCTCACCTGATTACTGTGGGTGTGATTTCAGCACAGAAGAACACGCTGAGGCTTCCAACAGCATGAGAAGAAAACATACCCACGATGGAGAATGCAACAGAGAATTTGTCTTTGACACTGTCACTCATACCTGGCAAGACAAGTGCATTGATAAAAAGTAAGAATGAGGTCAAACTTCTAAGGAAGAAAGCAATCAATGAAGTTTATATTACTCTTCTCCCTCAACAGGAATTTGAGTAATTTTGTAATATTAATTTAAAACTGGTATTTATAAAATCCATTCCCCAAGCACCTGAGATACAAACACACATGAAAAAAACCCCACAATATCATGCCAAAAAATGGCAGTGATCTCTGATTTTTTTATGCTCAGACACCACAGAAAAGGTAAAACCCATGAAAAAACAACATCCTTGGCCAGTCTTTTAGGCACTAGTCTCTTCCCTCTCATATTTGACCGATAAGTGGAGGCAGACAGTGTTCCTCAAGCTGCCAAATATCCTGTACAGCGGGGCTTGGGCACTGGAGAGGCTTCCAGGAGAAGAGAGGAAAGAACTAGAAGTGCTCCCATCTCTGTGCTAAGCCTCTGCATGTGATCAGTCTGCAAACTCTGTTGTAACTCCCAGCTTGACAACTCCAGGAGAGAACAGCCGATGCCAAGGACGGCGAGGCGCTCCTTAAGTCAAGGCTGTTTGCTCAATCTTTTCACAGCTGGATGGCAGCAAGGTTTCCAGGAGCAAACAGTGTTTGCTATCAAGCGCTTGCAGAAACCCCAGTAAATCTAAACAAAGCTCAAGGAAACTGTCTCTGGCCATGATGACAGTACATGTCTTACTGGATCCCTGCTTGTCACCTTCTGTGGGCAGGGCTGGGATCTCTGACCAGGGTTGTACAAGCTCACGTGGCCTGTCCTGGCCACATCACTCACAGACACTATTGCACCATACAAGGGGAACACATCATGCCTGACAGGAGCACTGGGGAAAGGACTGGAACTTTGCAGCCAGTGCTCCCTCACCTTTCTACACACACATCCCAAACCCTGCCTGAAGAAAGAACTGCTTTGTGCAGTCCCAAGCAGGCATACTGCCTGGCTTGGATCCAGTGAAAATTAACACCTGCTTTTGTTCTTGTTGAATATATCAGCTGTCAGGAGAGAAAAAGGTATTTGGGAGCTCTTCGGTTACATCTTCTGAAACGTGCTACAGCCTGCTCAGGGCTAAGCTCTTTCTGCTACGCACTCCAAGTCTGGGGGAGAGAGCAAATTCTGCCAGTGATGAGGATGTGGGCACAGCACCCTGAAAGCCATGGGTCTCTGGCCACTCTTGCATAGCAGGTGAGGCTACACCATTGACTCCCTCAGGGAGTCATGGCTGCTCAGCAGAACAGACCTTGGAAAAGCTGGGCAAGGACAGGTCCATCAAATCTGATACACAAAGGTAAGTTTTGTTCCCCTGTGGTTTACTGCATTGCTCTTACAGTACTTCAGCTGGGGAAAGTATGTTTTAAGGTGTTTTACTCCCCTAATCTAAAGTGTCCTTAAGGTGTTTTAGTCCCCTTTTCTTTTCTGGAAAAAAAGGAAAAACAGAGATTCTTGAACTGGGAATGTTGCTTCTCAGAAGGAGACTTTCTGAGAAAGCCTCACCCTGTATGTCAAACCTTGGGGGACCTCTGCACCCTCCCTTGACATGCAGCCTATGTGGAGGGGATGCTACATGAAGAGGCTGTGCATAGATGAGCAGACCTGCCTGTGAGTGGGGTCTCAAGGCACTGCACAGAAATGGAACTTCCCCCTGCACCCCTTTGTGGCAGCAGCTCTGCTCTGGGTGCTTTGGCCCAGGCCTTTTGGATCTACCTGTTCCTGGGGCAATGCTTCCCACATGATACAGATTTGTCTGTAAATCATACCTGAGTCTGGAAGTTGACTGTATTTTCCAATCACTGGATCCAAGACCATGGAAGTCAGAGAAAGATAAAAAAGAGAAAGGGAGAGAAAACAAGAACACACAGTTTTTATATGTTTATTTGTCTGAAAAAAAAAAAAAAAGGGTAAATCCCACATGCCATCCTAGCCCCAGCCTCTGACTCCCAATTCTTTCCCATGCCAAAACCGTCACATCTTTTCCTGGTCACCAGATAGGACATGCTGTTTCCAGGCACATCTCAGCTGGAGGACAGCATGCTAATGAGACAGTGATAACAAACCAGCAGTAAAGCATATTTAAAAGCCCCAGAATTACCACTGGGAATAACACAAAGGCCTCTTTGTTAATGAAGGGGGAGAAGAGAAAATGCCCTCCTGCTGCAGCCTGAGGGAATGGCCAACAGAAGCTTGGGTTAGAGAGAAAAATCTGGGCATCAGTGCTGTCAGACTGGTGGGAGACCTATTCCTCTCCAAAACCATGAGCTGGTGGTCCATGTGCCACACTAGCCACCAGTGCTAACCACACAGGAGCACATGGCAGCACTGGGCAGCAAGGGGAAGGGCATCAGTAGAAGCTGGGCACAGCTTTGCTGGTCATCTCCCACCCTGATTCTGTGACTTTCCAGAGTTCTGTGGCACTCCAGTGTTCAGAGGAGGGGTCAAACAAGGAGAGCTTCAAGGTCTGCTGCAGGTTTGTGGCTGGTGGAGAAGACCCATCTCTCTCTCTCACCATTCTCAAATTCTGATTTCATTTTCCAATTCCAAATTCTGCTAAATTAAAACATGTGAGATGATGTGACAGATTTAATAATAAACAGGGTCACTGCTTCTCTCCAAACAACATCTAGTTCTTCTGAGGAAGAGGTGGCCATGGTCAGAAGTGGGGAGAGCTGCTCTGAAGTTTGAGGCTGCCTTTCCCTCCTCTTCTCACAAAGAAAAGAGTGGAGTCACAAAGGCAGAAAAGGGCGCTGCATTGAGTGTGCCAATGTAGCACAAAGCACCAAAAGCCATGCCTGAGCTTAGTTTTGGCAACTTGTGTCACAAAACTACCTAAACCTGTTATGGAAAAGGTTGTAATGAGTCCTACAGGGTGTTACCTCCCACCTCCCTCATCAATTGTTTTGGAAAAAATGCAACCAGATTTTCGTGGCTCTGGAGCAGACTAAGGGCTCTGGCACGCCGTCTCTCAACCAAGCAAGTGTGTTTATTGTCTTAACAAACATCTCCCATCCTTAAACCAAAAATTAAAATGGGCAAATTCAGTGTAGAGAGTCCCTGATGGACACCCCCAGAGGAACATGGAGTTTTGGGAGGTTGCACACACGCACAGTGTGAATCTGCATGTGAATGGTCAGTCCATCAACAGACATGGTGAGGTGCAGCCATGGGGCTTCTCCCACTCTCAGCTGGGATTGCTGGACATGGTAAATATGTGCTCAAAGGGAATGTAAACATCTGTGCCAAGCTGGGAGCAAACACACATGATGCTGGAGTTTCCTCCATGTCATGAAAGAGGTTCCCTGTTTCCCTCCTACACTCCCACAAATAGCTTGTTTGCCAAAGGCGAACTCAGTAAATGCCTCCGGGAAACAGAGTCTGTAAATATGAACAATTCCTGTCGGCTCGGAGCTGCCCTCAGTATGCAAGAATGTGAAAGCTTTCCATCCTCAATGTGAAAAGCTCTTTCTTATTAAGGCCCTCAATTATTTCTAAACTTAGAAATTAAAACCAGCAATAACCAGTGTTCTAGTGTTTGTCTCACATCCAGTTTGTCCAAAGTATGTCTCAACCCTCTTCCCGCTTCCTTGGGGTGGGGTTTTATGGGACAGGGGTCTAATGATTGGCAACTGTGGGAGTGGCAAAGCACATCCCATATTCCCTCTGCTTCAACACCTCTCTGATTCATCAAGTTCAACCTCCTCAACCAACAAAAAATGAAGAGAATGAAATAAAATTGAAAAAGGAAAGGAAATGTTTCTATAGCAGTTTTAATAGCTGAAGCAGCTCAAAAGAGCCAGACAAAAGTTACTGCCTGCAAAGGAAGAGGTGGGACACTCTCACTTTTTGCAGGAACAACCATTTGAAATGCTGTGTCAATTCCCAAAATCATGTGTATACATTCACATGGACAATATATATACAGTGTGTTAAAAGCAGGGTCTTTCAGCTGCACGATTTCTGTGCTACCTTTTTATCGGATGTTCATAGCAAGATGCTAAAAGCAGGCAGAGGACATACACCTACTGCTTTAACTTCTGCATGGTTTAGAGGCCACTTGAGATGCAGACTTGGTTAGGAAAGTTTTCCCTTCCCAATCTTGATACAGCTCTTTCCCTGGCGGATGTTTCACTAAAACAAAATTGAAAGCATTTTTTGTTTCCTTGCTTGTTTTCTTGGTGACTACCCTGGATACAGCACCAAAGCTCAATAAGCTTTACCACGGGAATCATCCAGAATACAATGCCTTTTGTTAATGAGCCTGAGAAACAAGTGTTTGGGGAAACCTTCAAACAAAGTCAGATTCTAAAACTATGCAGGTGTAGCACATGACAAATCTGGGAAAGGCAAACAAAATGCTAGTATTTCCTGGTCCCTTATTTGCATGTGAAGCTTGCATGGTCCTGAAAAGCTCTCATCTCCAACTTACAGTTGAGAAGGCCCAGCTGCAGAAGTGATGCCAGAGCTGTAAGTATCATGAAGAGCAGGAGTCCTCCTCTCCTCCCCAGAAACCCGACCACAGGGCACATGGCCAGGCAGGATGCCAGCGCAATCCCAGCCATGGTGTAGTAGTCCGCATAGAAGTTGTGGGTAATCGCCATCTTCGCTTCGTGCCCCATCATACTTTTTGCAAAACAGTGGTGTATGCCATAACCAGTCAGCCTGGGGGAAACAGGAGAGGGCAAGAGAGACCATTGCTGAGAGGGCAGAACACACACTGCAATGTTATTCAGTGTGGGGAGGCATTAATGCAGGAATACAACACCTTACATTAAGAAACTTATCTCTAGGTGCTACTGTGAAAATAAGCATTGATAAAAAGAAGCAAATGAAAAAAAATCTCCATTCAACCAAATATTTGCTGACCTTATTCATATAGCTGCTGCTCATAGTATGATCAGGGCATGGGGAACTTCAGAAGAACTCCTAGTGTGTGGTAGGTTTTCCCATTTTATTTGAGAAATCCCATTCCCAGAGGAGCACATCTCTCTGTTCCCAGTGCACCTGCTGACAGCCACAGAGCCAGCACTGCTGCAATGAAGTAGCCTCTGTGCTTGGACAGCAAAACACCAGGAACACCCACTTGCCTGCAGCACTTGGTCATACTAAATACAAGCATTACACCTCACTTCCCAAGCTAGCCCATTAAAACTGAAAGCCCCTGAGAAAGGAGTATTTGAAGTTGTATGTGCTGCAATGATTATTACAATTATGAAACAATAAGCTCTAATTCAGTCTATACATTTACACCACTCTTCATTGCAATGTGTCTCCTTCTCTTTAAAAAATTTCTTTGAGATGCCACTGATCAACACTTCACCATCACATTTCACACATCTTTCTCCTGTCTCACCCTGTGCCTCCAAAAAATAGAAAAGAAAAAAAAAAAGGAAGAAAGAGAAGGGGGCTGAAGGTACAAAAGTCTGACGAGAAGCCCCAGCTCCACCCCTGATGTGGTACAAAATAGTAGCAGGGGTGTGGCAGGAGAGGTCAATGCTCTCAACTGCACCCATCACAGCTCAAGTACCTCTGCCAGGGAGAACCTCCTGTCCCTGGCACTTATACAAGACAAATCTCATGGCACAAATTAACAGTGCCTGAAAGAGTGGAAGGCACAGATCCAGGTCTCAAAAACAAAACAAAAAAAAGGCAGGTGCACTACACTGATACATTCTATACTTCTGAAGTTCAGGAATTTGAAGCTGTCAGTGTAAACTGGATATCAAAATAAGCAGAGAAGCAGCTGTGGGGATATGCAGACCCTGAGTGCATGACAGCCCACAGCCTGAGGAGTTTTCTTGCAAACTTGTGAATCAATGCTCCAGTTCAAAACCCCATACTCCATACCAAACACCTTGCCCTTGATAAAAACCTAATACAAGTGCTTCCTGTTACACAAAAATTACATTTGCTTTGTATAACTAGATTATAACTGACTCTCCCATAAGAGAAATATTAGTCAGCAAAACAGTAGTAATAAAAGGGCAGAGTTAACCAGCCTTTCTTCTGTCTTTCTCTTCTATGCATGCAAACACAGTTGCAAATGTTGCTATTGAGACCATGACCTATAAAGTAAATTATTTAATCATTTGAACTTTGCTTTCCAGCCTGTTCCCTAAGAATTACTCTATTCTCTTCACTTGGTGAGCAGCTCAGAATAGTTACTTTTAAAATTAAACCCTTGTCTTCCTTAATTTTTTTTTTGTTCACTGCAAAAGGTTCTTTCTCTGTGAACTAAAAATTTAGCACAGCCCTGTCTAACAGGAGTAACAGAAGTAAAATTAAATATTTTTTTCCACCTCTTAAAAACAAACATGAAATCTATTTCCTCAGATGTACATCTGCTTCATGCTCTGCTTGGATGCAAACAGCCTTCATGTGCTAATGCCAGAAGTTATTTTTTGGACTGCCTAGATCTGATTTAAGGAATTACCAAATATGCAAAGTAATGTGGGTGAGGGAGAAGGGGAGAATTCCCCATGTAAACAGTTTTCACAAATACATTTAACACTGTCTACTAGATGTACTTGGTGAGCCTTAGAAGAAAGCATTGTTTCAGAACAGAGGTAGTCACTCACTGGTGGGTGGAAGAGAGACACAAAGCTCACAAAACCAGATTTGATTCTGAAGCCAATAACACTGGTGATTGACCCCAGAAACTGTGTGTTTCTGGGGACTATTTGCCCAGCACAGGGGCTGTCCCCTCTGGGTGATGACTGATCCATAAGCCTACTAACAGGAGTGAGGACTGCGGAGCAGTGCCCTGAAGTGAGGAAGAAAAAGCCACAAGAGAGCTACATACTTTGAAACCAAGCAGAGAAAGGGGATTCCCGGTCTTCTCCAGCCCCACCTCCCATTTGAAAAGAAAACCATGAAAAATTCAAATGGGCATTTTGCAAGATGGAAAAATTAGAAAATGCACTGCTGGTGCCCAGAATTTGCAAGCCAATGTATTTCCTCTTTACAAGGTGTTCAGTTCCGGACAGAAGATCTCAAAACCTCAGGCTGATGCTTGTTTTTGCCCACATGAGCATGTCCAAACTGAAACCTTAGGAGGTGAGCATCGCATTGTCCTCTTGGAGACTGCACATTCTCCCTGTGACCCCCTGCATGTAATTTGGGAGTGCTGAGGCACTTTGTAATCTACCTTTGAAGACCCACCAAGCACAGCTGTTACACAAGGGAACAACTTGTATTTACTGGCAAGCAACTTTTTCCTCTGCACCACAGCCCTGTCAGATGCAAACAACTTGAACCTGTATTCCTGGGGCATGAATGGTTTCAAAGCTCCCACCTGGGATGCCAAGCAGATGTCAGCACGGCACCTGAGAAGAAGCTGTTGTGCTGCCTGAAACAGCCAGCGAGCTCCTCCACGTTTGCCATAAAAAATACAGTTCTCAGCAACAGCTGGTGTTTTTCCAGGATGACTTATCAGAGATGTTAGTGAAGGGTCCCACAGAAGGGAATAGTGGAGCTCCCTTATCCCTTCCCATTGCTGCTCCAGTTCACTGACCACACAACTATTTAAACAAAGAGATTGGACTTACGAGTTCACGCACAACACTACGATGTTTTTCCACAGGTTCCTTGTTCCCACCACTTTAACAATGCAGACTTTCTTTGGTCTCCTGGTGATTTCCTTTTCCAGCTCTGAAACAAATCAAATCAGAATTATTATTTCACTGAGGAGAATTAGAAGATTTAATTGTGAGCTAAGATATTCTGAGGGATGTTCTGGAGAGCAGAACACTATTGATTACATTTACAAGAGATATAAAAATGCTGAACTACCTGCCTAAAGTCCAGCATAGGTTCCTCCTTTTCTTCCAGGCTTCTCTTCATCTTCTAGGGGCAAAAGAACTAAGAACTCCTTCATAGTACAAACCTCCTCAGGAGTGAGGACTGCGGAGCAGTGCCCTGAAGTGAGGAAGAAAAAGCCACAAGAGAGCTACATACTTTGAAACCAAGCAGAGAAAGGGGATTCCCGGTCTTCTCCAGCCCCACCTCCCATTTGAAAAGAAAACCATGAAAAATGCAAATGGGCATTTTGCAAGATGGAAAAATTAGAAAATGGTGCACAGAATTTGCAAGCCAATGTATTTCCTCTTTACAAGGTGTTCAGTTCCGGACAGAAGATCTCAAAACCTCAGACTGATGCTTGTTTTTGCCCACATGAGCATGTCCAAACTGAAATCTTAGGAGGCGAGCATCACATTGTCCTCTTGGAGACTGCACATTCTCCCTGTGACCCCCTGCATGTAATTTGGGAGTGTTGAGGCACTTTGTAATCTACCTTTGAAGACCCACCAAGCACAGCTGTTACACAAGGGAACAACTTGTATTTACTGGCAAGCAACTTTTTCCTCTGCACCACAGCCCTGTCAGATGCAAACAACTTGAACCTGTATTCCTGGGGCATGAATGGTTTCAAAGCTCCCACCTGGGATGCCAAGCAGATGTCAGCACGGCACCTGAGAAGATGCTGTTGTGCTGCCTGAAACAGCCAGCAAGCTCCTCCACGTTTGCCATAAAAAATACAGTTCTCAGCAACAGCTGGTGTTTTTCCAGGATGACTTATCAGAGATGTTAGTGAAGGGTCCCACAGAAGGGAATAGTGGAGCTCCCTTATCCCTTCCCATTGCTGCTCCAGTTCACTGACCACACAACTATTTAAACAAAGAGATTGGACTTACGAGTTCACGCACAACACTACGATGTTTTTCCACAGGTTCCTTGTTCCCACCACTTTAACAATGCAGACTTTCTTTGGTCTCCTGGTGATTTCCTTTTCCAGCTCTGAAACAAATCAAATCAGAATTATTATTTCACTGAGGAGAATTAGAAGATTTAATTGTGAGCTAAGATATTCTGAGGGATGTTCTGGAGAGCAGAACACTATTGATTACATTTACAAGAGATATAAAAATGCTGAACTACCTGCCTAAAGTCCAGCATAGGTTCCTCCTTTTCTTCCAGGCTTCTCTTCATCTTCTAGGGGCAAAAGAACTAAGAACTCCTTCATAGTACAAACCTCCTCCCAGTTAAAAATGTATATGTAAAGTGGGAGCAGTATGGAGCTTGACCCCAACAAGCATGACAGCAAATTTCTTGAAGAACTTCAAGATTCTGTTGATTTTTAGAACTCTCTAAAGGGAAGACTGCACTTGGGCAGCTACAGGCTCTGCTCCCATTGTACAATGCATACCTAAAAAGCCATGGAAAGGGCTGGAGCTCAAACTCATTTTTCATGGGTCATCTTTTGAATTTGTTCAAATGCAAGTTTGAGAATGAAGTGGCTAGGACATTATGTCAGCTCATCCATCTTCTACTCCACTCCCTTTTCAAATATTTAAAATTTTTCTGATGGAAGTCCTAAACGTTAAGATGTTTTCTTAAAGAAAATTCATGGGGCATCAGCAACTGTGGTGTCTTTGCATTTCAGAACTAAAGCCCCACCATGTCCTTCCAGTTCTGGGCAGCTTCAGGTGATCTTTTCTTTGCAATGCTGAAATAACACACAAGCCTTACAAATGTTGCCTCTGATACCCTTGTTGGCATGGGACAATAGTGAAGGGCACTGTTTGTTTCCCAATTACCATTAAGTTGGAGCTTGAACACCTACCTAAGCGTGCCAAAGCAGCCACCGTTTCCAAGCTACCGGATCAGTGGACAACAAGTCCAATAAAAGCAGGAGAAGCTGTAGCTATAAAGAAGCATCACAAAAATAATGCCCTCCAGGAGCACAGACTAGGTCTGTTTTCTGGGGTAAAGTCTCTCAGTGCTGCTTTCTAGCCTGACTGTGTTTAAAGGCAGCAGCGTGGCCCCGTTGTGAAGAGTGCATGAGTTCTCTTCGTGCATATGCAATGAGCTTGGGTGTCCTCAGTTGCCCAAACTGGCCTGACCTGCCCTGACCTCTGCCTTACTCTGCTGAATGGCAACTTCCTAAAGAGATGCAAGACAGGAGAAAATAAAAGCAAGCTGGGGGAGGGGGGGTGGGGGTTAAAAAAAAAAAAAAAAAAGCCACCTGAATTTACAAATGAAACAAAAGCCACATTTGCCAGCTATTATTTGAAAAGTGCATCACAAAAATAATAAATGAAGCAAACACTATTTACATGCAAATACTTGATCTATTAACTGCTCACAGGTCACTCCTGGTCTTCTCTCTAGTGTAATTACTGGGAAGGCTTCTGACAAAAGCAGCAAAGTGTATCTTACATTAGTGATTGTATTTAGGCAGAATATTTCTATACCACTTTCCTAACAACCTGATAATGGCCATTTCTCCCCAGAATCTATGCAGCATGAAGCACACACAAGCAGAAAAACTAAAGTGGAGCAAAAGAAGAAATTAGTTAAATTAATATTTGTATTACAAGCCCTCTTCAGGCTCAGCAATGGATCGGGGCCATATTAAAATATAAGCAATAAAAAAATTGGAGTTTAACCTCAAAGAACAAGGTCAAAATAATTTTTGTACCAAGATTCTAGGAAGGAATAAGTGGGAAAAAAATAATTCAGAACAATGGAAGCAGTTAGATAAAACATAATTGTAAAGGCCATGAATGAGCCCAGGCCAAACCTTTTACAGCAAAAAAAGTCAAAGCAAGCACTAGAAGAAGCACAAGGGTTTTGAAAGGCTGTTGGTGGGTGTTTACTATTTCAGCTGAAGGGCAACAATGAAAATCATAACCCAAACAACACATATTGCACAGATTTCACGTGGACAAAAGGGTTTACTCAAACTAAGAATGACCAGATCTGGCCTATAAAGTAAAACATCTCATCCTCTGTCAGCAGAAGGTACATATGCCATATTCTTCAGATTTTCTTAATCTGATAAGGTTTTTTGTTTGTTTGTTCCTCAGAGAAAATTTTTTTCTTTCAAGACAGAGAGTAGACTTACTTGTAAATATATGCTGTACTGAGCCACAACTTAATGAAATCAAGAGAAGCAATGATCAACTTGGGTACACTTTTCTTTGCAACCAAATATTATTTTGCCCTCCACTTCTGCTTTGTTCATACATTAGGTCTTCCTATAATCCATATGTTCTTGGTTTATTGTCATGCATCCTTCTCACCTGCACTCAGGCTCCCCTTTTAACCTTTCTCATAAATCAGTGTTTCTGAATTAGTTCCCACCAGTGTTTTTCACTGAACTGCTGTTCTGCCCTCAAGTAAAGGCCCACTTGGTTATGTGACCAGCTCCTGTGTCAGCTGCAGTGAGGATCACACACGACAGGGGAGCTCACCCCTTCTCTACCCTCCTCACGCAGCAGTCTTTCTGCACTGGACCCTTAATCTGCTTTCATGAGGGTTATACTCCATGGACGCATCACAGCATTATACAAAGATATCTCAATTCTAGATGTAACAGCATTACAGGCATTAAAAAAAAAAAAAAAAAAAAAAAAAAAAAAAAAAAAAAAAAAAAAAAAAAAAAAAAAAAAAAAAAAAAAAAAAAAAAAAAAAAAAGGGGAAAAAAAAAAAAAAAGAAAAAAAGAAAAAAAGATGAGGGGAAAAAAAAAATCTGGTCTCAAACCTTACACCAAAGAATGCAAACAGAACCTGGCTTTTTATTGAGAGCCTTGTGACTCTACCAGCTATTTACACCTCCATGCCTCTATGACATTGTTAAAACTTCAAATCTAAGTCACCTGCTTTAGATGAATGACTTGTTTCCAAGTCTCCAGCACAATTCATTTTTCTGATGGCTTTCTCCCTCCTTTGCCTCTATGAATACTAGTGAGATATTCACCAAAAATCCCCACTGCACTGCAAAATCAATGACCTGCAATAACCAAAATATCTTTACAATAGGAACAAATAAGCTATGTGACTTGCAAAAAAGTCATAGCTACAGAACTGGCTCTCATGTAAATGACCTGCTGTCTTTGGAGGGAGCCTGCCTGCATGAAAGGACCTGCTCTGACTGACTTTGATGAGCACCAGGAGAGTGACAGCTCTGAGGCTGACTGACTTCATAGGTCAAAGTTAAGATATTAAGAGTAAAGCCAAAGCCTATTAAAACCTCATAGAAGCAAACTATTTCTCTCTCAGAACTAACACCAGAAATATTCCCTGTACACCCAGCTTATTCTTTGATTTTACACTGAAGTCACTAGTACAGAAGGAATTTGCATTAAATGTTTCAGTTTTGATTTACCATAAGGGAGAGTGTGGAACACAAAAATATTTCTATCCATTTATTCAGAGGCCCCTAATAAGTTTTCCCATACTCCAGAGCCCACACACACTCTAGGCTTCCTATTCAGGGACTCAGTAGGAAAACTATCAACAAGCTAACTCTTTATATCTCAGTGGAAATTAGAACTATTCACTGGCAGACTTTAAAAGTCTCATGGGAAGGGGAACCCTACCAGCTCCCAAGGCTCCTGAATTCTCATGGGACCCTCTCCATTTCAGGAGCATGCCTTTCAAACTCAGAAAGTATCTTTAGAGCCTTCAGATTAAACCATCCATCTCTGCATCACTTGGCATAGACAAAACAGACAAAAGCCCAAATCAAGCCACATAAAAATTATGTCCAACATGACAAGTGTCCTGTGGTGATGGACTTCTGCTGGATTTTTCTGGCTGCTAAACGATACTGTCAGTAGCTCTTTGAACATGAAAAGATCTATGGAAGCCTAGCACAGAGACTCGATCAATCCTCAGAGCATGACAGCTCTGCAGCAGGAGGTGGACCAGTCTGAAACACAGAGGTGAAGCAATCTATTCTCAGGCAGGCAGAGTTACTGGCACACAGGTTTATTTATACCTTCCAGGACTTTTGTCCAGCTCTCAAGCCATATACAGAAATTATGAGGTAGGTAAAATACAGACTGATGGCCAGAGAGCGATAAGAGATAGAAAAATAGAAATCATAAGCGGGTGGCAGGACATTAGTAGTGGGATGATTCATCTTATTTAAAAAAAAAATTGTTTAATAATCTGAGTAGGGAGCTTGGCAAAAACCTCAGAAATGTACCAATAAGGTCTGCTGGTGATAAAGTGAGGCACTACCTTATTATCAAAGGTAAGTACAATGCAAATGGGCCATCGGAGGGAACTCGGTGAACTTGAGATCCAGCATGTGGCAAAAACAAGTGAAAATGTGAAATACAATGCAAAATTCTCAGTGATTAAGGAGAAATATTCCTGGTGGAAGATAAGCAAAACCTGTGCAAAACCTGTGTGGGATTTTGTTATGTACTACTTGAGCACAAGTGACTACGTGGCACCAGTTTAATGCAGTCATGAAGTATTTGCAATTCAGACAATGAAATACCAGAATTCTTTTACAATTCTGATCATCAATATTTGAGAAACTAAAGCTCTGGCAAGCTGGAGTATTGTATTTATAAAAGGAGAGGAGACAGAGGAGAACCTCATCTCAGTACAGGAATAGGGCTGCTCTCTTCTCATCTAGCATGAGGAAAAAGAGATTTAAGATAGGCACAGACAGGACCAAATGGGAAAACAAAAAAATAACAAACCCAGACAGCTACAGTGTATTTGAACTGAATACTAAGATGTATCTGTAGTACAAGAGGAATATGGAGACTGGAATGGCTTTCTAACAAAAAGCACTGGACAGAAATACTAACAGCATTTAAAATGAACCTCCTTTCAGGAGAGCAACTCTGTAACTCTAGGACTATAACAGCTAAGGACAGATTGCAATGATTTATTTCAATCCTCTATTTCTAATTACTTTCAAAAAAGATTGAAAAGTCAGACATAAGGTTGCTGTAGCCATCTTCAATTGCTCATGTGAATTATGATACAGC